GCGAATGAAATCGACGATTTAATTGGTCATTTTTGCAAAATAAATTGAAGAAGTCGTGTGTTTTCACCTGAAGGTATCCCCGATGGCAGTATTCATAAACAAGACTGAAGGAGTCCGGTGTCACGCAGCACCCCATAAAAACGTTGATATTTTCCTGTTGAATTTCTTGCAGTACTGTAAGGTACTCAATTACCTTTGAACGCAGTAGAATATGAGATAAGCCCAATTCTTTAACGCAGACTTGAACGCCCTGGAGCAAATCAAACAAAGTGAAAGAGGCTTTAAAAGCTCTTAAGCATATGTTGCACGTATACAATGCCCATTTAAATAATAATGTCTGCAGTTAGTAAATACACATTTACTTGGGACCACCTTTGCCATTTTAGCAAAGACTTCCACTGCATTGGTGTGGAACATTAGCAATTACACAAATGATATCAGTATTGTGAGTCCTCTCATATATGGTTGCAATGGATGGCAGGGATGAATCAGTTATCATCAATTGTGGAAGTGTCGTGTTCAGCATAACACCCTTATACGCATCTTGATTGGTGTGTTAGGTACAGTAACTGCAAAATCAACTGTGAGGTAGCACACAAAGCATAGCTTGCAGGAGTGTTTGGAATGGGTCAAAGAGTCACACCAACTGGAAAGCGAAAATCAACTAGTGGAAGGCTGGAAGACCATGCACCACCTCCAATATCACATTGCATTTCGTGCAGTTACAAATCCTAATCAACTATCAAATGAACCTACGTTTTTACTCCTTTCACCAATGCTATACGGTAAGTACGCGTAAATAAAGGTGAATTTTATTAAGTCCTAAGATCCGAGTGGCTGACTGAACTACAAGCATGTCTTGCAGCTTTCGCCAAGTAAACGCATATAATGTTGCTCATCATTGAAGGTTGCATCCACTACCTATCTCACGCTCTTATGCTGTGAGCCACTCCGCACTCACATGACTATGCTTTCCTTACCTCATAATTGTGTGTTTATGTGGCGAGTGGGTGCGATAGTGGATATGTGGTGGATTGCGAAACCAGGCATCCAGTTGATGGGAATAGAACAGAAGCTACGTCTAAGGTCCATCTGCTAGATGTATTTGAAGGATGGGAGTGAAATAGTGCTTTCTTTTGAAAAGCAACGACTACAACAGTCAGTGCTAAACAATCGACGATGCTAAAGCTCTCATCTTTCTGTCATTTGATAATGTAAGACATTGTACATAGTGCTGTATACTGTAAACTGACTCATCAAAATATTTCAACTAAAGGATCAAATGTGCTAGAATACAATTATTCCATCTTCATTCCTGCTTCGCGAGAGGGAAGTATCGAGAATGAGTGTAAGAGAGCTTAAATATCGTGCGTAAAAAAATGAAAAAGAGCAGAGGACCAAGCCTCATAGAACGACTTCTACACAGTGGAATACTTATGCAGCTGAAATGCTTTTTTGGGCCTTGTACAGGCAAAGCAGATGGTTTCCAACACTATCCGATCACCTTTTAGAACCAAACATCTTCCGCCTTTAATTCATGCGACAATCTAGACGAGG